AAACAAGGTAAGCCGCTGCTTTTCTTCATGCTATGCGGCTATTTCGCCCAGCACAGAATTCATATGTTGTCCAAGTGTTGTGCGAGGCCGCGCAGTGACGAGGACAGGAGCAGTGCTGGCACGACGGCGCTGCGTCGCTTGTGGAGCGGGCCGCATCCGAAGAAACCGTGGGCGACCACATGTGCTGCTCAGGAGGCCCCTCTCACTCGTTCTGCAGCAGGATCGTATGCGGTGGCCACGAGGCCGCAACAGGTCCCTGCCGCCGTCACCCCTATCGACAGATTTGCCGCGCTGAGATCTCGGACTGCCGAGAAAGAGGCGGCCAGGCAGGCCCGAATGGGTAGAAGCCCATGGTTCGGCCAAACGTGACCACAATGAAAAATCCTAAATCCTACACATCCTCCTCCTCATCCTCCTCATCCTCCCCCTCCTCATCCTCCTCATCGTCGTCCTCCTCTTCTTTCTCCTCCTCCCCCTCCTCTCAGACCAGGGCGTCACCATCATACCTGCACACCTGCCCCGGGGTCCCCTTTGCAGCTGCCCCGGGGCATCTCGGTCAGCTGGCGTTCGCCAGCCGCCCCTCCGATGGGGCGTGTTCTTCGCGAGCAGCGTATTCCGCCTCTTTCTCCTCAGCCTCTTCTTCACCATCTTTCTCCTCGTCATAGCCTTATCGTTCTCGTTATCATCAGCAGACGCTCCGAGACACCTCCCTGGTCTCGCAGGGCGTTTGCTCCTGTTGGTGCCCGCTAATGGCGTGATGTGCTGCAGTAGTGCTGAAAAGAACGTGGAACAGGAGAGATACTTTGGGGTTCCTAGCAGCAAAACAAAGCAGGGGCAACAATCATCATCATCATCATCATCATCATCATCATCATCATCATCATCATCATCATCATCATCATCATCATCATCATCAGCATCAGCATCAGCATCAGCATCAGCATCATCATCATCAGCATCAGCATCAGCATCAGCATCAGCATCCGCATCATCATCATCATCATCATCATCATCATCGACATCATCGACATCATCAACATCATCATCAGCAGCAGCATCGTCATCGTCATCATCATCACGATCATGATCATCATCATCATCATCATCATCAGCATCATCATCATCACCATTACCATCAGCAGCAGCATCAGCATCATCATCATCGTCATCAGCATCAGCATCATCATCATAATCAGCATTATGATTATCATCACCATGAGCATGATCATCATCATCATTATTAGATGCGTCAACATCATCATCAGAATCACCATCATCATCACCACCACCGCCATCACCATCACCATCATCACCACCATCATCATCATCACCATCATCATCGTTATCGTTATCATCGCCATCATCATGAGCAGCAGCATCATCATTACCATCATTAGCATCATCATCATCACCACCAGCATCATCAGCATTATCTCTGCTTTGTCGTCTCTGTGGTTTGTCGCCTCTGCGGTGTGTGTGTGTGTGCATATTTCCCCCCATCGTCCGTCGTCGTCCTTTCTTCTGCGGGCTTTGCATCCTCCGCCCGATCACGGATCGTTCGATCCTGTTGTCTTATTTTCTTTGTTCAACACATACACCAGCATACAGAAACGAACATTGTCAAGGCAGAGGGCTTAAGAAACAAACAGCAAATTTGCATCCTCATCATCACCATCATCAGTATTAGCAGAATCGTTATCATCGTAATCATCATGAGCAGCGGCACCACCATCATCCTGCCGACGCTCTCTGCCCTTCTTCAGGGGCGTGTTTTCCGCGAGCAGCCTCCTCATCGCCCTGTCCGGCGTGACCGTCACTGGGCTGGGCGACGCTGCCGCCTCTCTCTGCGGGACGAACTACGGACGCCACCCGTGGCACGGGTCGAAGAAGACCATGGAGGCGGCAGGGGCCACAGGGATTCAGAGCTCCAGAGATTCGAAAATATTGAGTCGGCAATTTTCCAGCCTCGCGATGTGCTCCGGCAGCTGCGCCTCGCCGAGGGCGTTCAGGGTTGCCCAGATCCTCCCGAACGGCCGCCAGAGTGCCGAGTTATGGTCCGAAAACCAATGACAGGGAGGACTGTCGCACGAGGCTAGGACGAGGGTAAATCCGTTCCAGAGCGTTCCAGAACGCTCTCAGAGCGTTCCGGAACGCTCCGAGAAGGCCGCGGCGCCCGAGACATCCTCCAGAACCGTTGGATCTCAGAGCTTCCCGATTTGTCACTACCCGAATCGATCCTCGTCCTGGCTTCGTCTTATATTGGCCCACGGGCGCTGAGATCCAGGCGTGGCAATTTTTGTTCCCACCGGCGACCTCTGGCTCGGAAAGAGTGCCGATGAGAACCATCACGGGTGGACCTCTGGACCGAAAAGAGTGCCGCAGAGAGGTGGGGCCAGTTGGGCTCTGGTCGCGATTCTTCGCAGTGACGCATGTTCTTCGCACAACGGCGAAAATCTTACGGGGGACCCGGAGCTCCAGAGATCCGAAAGTATCGAGTCTGATTTGTTTCTGCCGTGTTCGGCCTCGGGAGGCCGATCTCGGACCCCAGAATGAAGTCGGGCATGTCCCTCGACAGGAGGAACATTGAGGCATAGCAAACAAGTAGTCTGGGGACGATTTGTCGTGCTCTTGTGACTGGTTTGAATGGTTTGTTAGGACTACTTTAAAATTTTCCTTCCCGAATCCACCTGTAGGAGGACATGCCCGACAGAACCCTGGGATTGGCAAATTACCCCTGCAGAGAGCCCTTGAGAGCAGCAGGGGTGAAGGGGCGGGTCGAGGGTCGGAGGTCGGCTGGCAGGGGGCACAGGCGCTGAGATCTGGGCGTGGCATTTTTGTTTATATCCAGCGTTTTTGGCCTGTTTCGGGCCCGGGACCATCACTCAGGAACACGATTACGGTAGGTTCGTTTCGTGTCGACCGGCGGCGACCCCGCCAGCGGCGTTCAACGTTGAACGCCGCGGGCGACCCAGAATCGCTCGATGTGGAACGATTTGGACATTTCGGAAACGGCCGATCGTTCGAGGTTGAACGATCCCCGCGGTGTCAGGAACCAACGCTCGGGTCGTCACGACACGAACCTACCGTATCGGGTTGGGGGGATGGACTTGGGAGAAATGAGGATATCATTATTCGTAGGCGGCCGAAGGTATCGTTCACTGCATCCGGATGCTATTGCTTCTACCCCTCTCCCAACCTCTTCCTCCCAACACAGCTACTGTGTTCCTCAATCACGTGTCGATTCGGCTCGAGAAATGCCCAGAAAAATGGAGTCCAGAGCCGCGGTCGCGAATTTTCGCGGTGTTGCAATTGTTTTCGGATGGGGCTAGGACGAGGATAACTCCGTTCCAGAGCGTCCCTGAACGCTCTCAGAGCGTTCCAGAACGCTTTGAGAAGGCCGCGTCGACAGATACAATCTCCAAACCCACCGATTCTCAGAGGTTTCCGATTTGTATCGGTCCAAGTTTGTCTCCTATCCGCCTTCGCCTTAGAGTTGGGTCTCTCGAGCTGCCGCGCGAGGCCTCCGGAAGTTTCTCCTCGCAACCTTGACGGTCGCAGGGTTCGGATGTTGCTAGAAATGCCCTTGGCCCAAGGTGCCCCCAGGATCTCCAAACCCGCAGATTCTCGGAGATTTCCGATTTGTATCGGTTCGATGTTGTCTCGATTCTGCCACCATCTTAAGCGGGATTCCAGAGACTCTGAGGGTTTGTTGAATTTTGAGTTTCGAGAGGCCAGGAATGTCCAAAAGGATTTCCGGCGGTTGGACTTCCAGCGCGGTGCAGGCGGGAAGCTGGCAGGGAGGAGCCGGAGGAAGGCGGCGAACGCGAGGGTTTTAGGCCTCCCCCAGGCCCCAAAAGCTGGCCGACGCTGGCACGCCGCCCCCAAACGCTGGCCACTGCATGCCCAAGGCACGGTGCATTCGTGCCGCGTCGACGCGGCGGCGGCCCCGCCATGGGCGTTCAGGGTTGAACGCCGCCGGTGGCCCAGAATCGGCCAGAATGGAGCGATCGGGCGATCGAAAGGCCGCCGATCTTTCAGGGGTGAACGCCGCCGGTGGCCCAGAATCGGCCCATGCGGGGCGATCGGGCGATCGAAAGGCCGCCGATCGATTGAGAAGGAGGAGGAGGAGGAAACCATGCGGTGCCGGAAGCCAACGCCCGGGTCATCACAACGCGAATTTGCCGTAGGCCCGAGCTGGTTCCTGCGGCGCCAGGCAGCACTGTCTGGGGTTGCCTGTTTTGTTCCTATCGCCCAGGGTGGATTGCATGGCGCCCGGCCCCCATCAGCCAAAAAGGTGTGTGACCGGAAAAAAATGTGGCCGAAAGCGCACCCAATATTGTGACCAAAACCATAGTGTGACCGAAAACGTAGTACCAGAAGCAGGGTCACGACGCGGATCTAAGCCGGAGTAGTGAGAGGAGCACAGATAGGGGGCGGAGTAGGTGCAGTAGCACTTGCAGTAGTTTTAGCGTGGATGCAATAGGTTGCGGTCTGGGTGCAGTAGTTGCGCGTGGATGCAATCTTGTATTCTTCCAAACTCAAGACCTTACGCCCCTTGCAGCAGCTCGTGCCCCCCAGCAATAGTTCACGCAAGAGTTCCCGCAATAGTGCGCGCAAGCGAACTACAGTCAACCCGCATATTAAGGATAGGCAACCTGCCCAAGGGTACCCTTGCATCCTCGCCTCCTCGGTCCATCCGTGGCCACTTTCGTTGGCCGCTCCCCGCTGGAAAAGCTTCGAAATGGGCTTCCAAGGCCCTTGCATCTTTATCGCGCATCCTTACTATACGGCTTGACAGTATTGCACCTCCCTCCACCCGCCCACTGGCGCTGCCCCCATCGTTTCAGTCTAAAGCGCACTTGGCGTAGGAGGAGAACCGACCGACGCCTCGGCCAGCGCCGACAGGGAGGTGCGGGGGGCGGGGCGCGCGTGAGCAGGCGGGCCCGCCGTACGTGGTAGACCCGGCCGCGGCCGCTGCCCCGCGCGGCGAGGCCATCCGCAGCCGTCTCGGCCGAAGCGGGGCCTTTCTAGGCTTACGTCAGGCATGTCTCTCTGCAGGAGGGATGTTCAAAAAAGTTGCCAACATTACTCCGACGGAAGAACCCCACATAAGAATCCTCTGGGCGAATCTGGAAAAAGCCATCACCGTCGTCCTCGTGGTTGGTGAGGCGTCCTGGCTGTCTCTTCTGCGTATATTTCCTCTCGCCTTGGCGCGGGCCCCCCTTCCACTCCTTACGTTGTCCCCATCCTCGCCCCCCTGTTTGTTCCGCGCCCCGCCACCTCCTCCCCTTCCTGTTGCATGAGCGCGCATGTCGATGTTCCTCGGCGCCGTCGCCGCCACGGCCAGCACAGGCGCGTTCTCTACAGGTCACGTCGCGCAGCCGTTGGGACAACCCCGCGGGCCAGGCTGTCGGGACAACCCCGCGAGCCGTTGGCGCGCAAGACCAAGCCGTTGGGACAACCCCGCGGGCTTCGAGCGAGGCGCAGCCGCGCTCAGGCGGAAGGCAGCACGAAGCCCAGCTCTGCCGCGAGCTGCTTCGCCTCCGCCCTGGACAAAACCGTTCTCTTGTCGAACTCCAGGAGCGCCTTCCGCAGGGACGCCGGCGGCCCGCACTCCAGGAACTCTCGCGGCGGCGGCCGCAGGATCAGCATGTTCCGCATGCACGTGGCGCGGGAGAACATGACGTAGAGGTGCAGCCACCACTGCTCGTCCGACATGCCCGTGCGGCCAGCGTCCTCGTCTCTCGCGCAGTCGATGGTGACGCCCTTGCGCAGCGTCTGGCCCTGCGACAGCGTGGAGGTCAGGTAGGACGCGTGCGTCAGGGTGAACCCCGAGCGGCGCACGCTGTGCGCCCCCGAGCTCTGCCATGTGAACTCCCTTTCGCTGGGCCTGAACATCAGCAAGCTCCGCGCCCGCGCCTCGGCCTGGCCGTCGTCGTCGGCGCCTTCGGCGCCCTGTCGCAGCACCTCGGCGACCTGAGGAGCCCAAAAACTTCCTTGTTGCATCCAAAGTGTGGCCTGGGAACTGCGTTCTGGCAGCGCGAGAACCCAACATTGACGACAGTTACAGGTTTTGGATGACCTGCTCGGATTACCAACATGATCTGCGGGCCCCATAGGGAGGGGGCTCCCGCCTGAGACTTCCTCGCAGTTCACTCACAGACGAGGCTCCCGCCTGAGACTTCCTCCATATTCAGGCTTGAGGAGCCCAAAAGTGACGACAGTTACAGGGTTCCGATGACCCGCTCGGATTACCAACATGATCTGCGGGCCCCATAGGGAGGGGGCTCCCGCCTGAGACTTCTTCACAATTCACTCAAAGACGAGGCTCCCGCCAGAGACTTCCTCCAAATTCAGGCTTGACGAGCCCAAAAGTGACGACAGTTACAGGGTTCCGATGACCCGCTCGGATTACCAACATGATCTGCGGGCCCCATAGGGAGGGGGCTCCCGCCTGAGACTTCCTCGCAGTTCACTCACAGACGAGGCTCCCGCCTGAGACTTCCTCCATATTCAGGCTTGAGGAGCCCAAAAGTGACGACAGTTACAGGGTTCCGATGACCCGCTCGGATTACCAACATGATCTGCGGGCCCCATAGGGAGGGGGCTCCCGCCTGAGACTTCTTCACAATTCACTCAAAGACGAGGCTCCCGCCAGAGACTTCCTCCAAATTCAGGCTTGACGAGCCCAAAAGTGACGACAGTTACAGGTTCCGATGACCCGCTCGGATTACCAACATGATCTGCGGGCCCCATAGGGAGGGGGCTCCCGCTTGAGCCTTCCTCAGAATTCACTCACAGACGAGGCTCCCGCCTGAGACTTCCTCCATATTCAGGCTTGAGGAGCCCAAAAGTGACGACAGTTACAGGGTTCCGATGACCCGCTCGGATTACCAACATAATCTGCGGGCCCCATAGGGAGGGAGCTCCCGCCTGAGACTTCCTCCCAATTCACTCACAGACGAGGCTCCCGCCTGAGACTTCCTCCATTTTCAGGCCTGGGGAGCCCAAAAGTGACGACAGTTACAGGGTTCCGATGACCCGCTCGGATTACCAACATGATCTGCGGGCCCCATAGGGAGGGGGCTCCCGCCTGAGACTTCCTCACACTTTACTCAACGATGATGAGGATGAGGATGATGAGTGGTGGTGAAGATGAGTGGTGAAGAGGATGATGATTGATTGTGGGTGGTGGTGGCGATGATGATGTTTGAATGAGGATGATGCCGATACCGATGATGACGATGATGTTCGTGAGCGTGTGAGAGAGTGCGAGTGATGATGATGTGTGTGTGAATGAGTGCGAGGAGAAGAGGGGGTGAGTGAGATCTCTCTCCTGCGCGGGGGTGTGCAGAGAAAACAAGAACCCCACTTTGGATGTGGGGAAAAATAGTCAGGGGGACGATCGGCTTTACAATTTCTGATTATGTTTGAGCATTGTTTGACTATTTTTCATTTTTTCTTCCAAAATCCGCCTGCAGGGGGAGGACATGCCCGACCTAATTCTAGGCCTCCCAGGCGGGGTCGGAGTACGATAGGTTCGCGTCGTGTCGACCAGCGGAGTTTCCGCCGCCGGCGGTCAATGTTGAACGCCGTCGGCGACCCAGATCCGGCTCATGCTGCACGAGAGGGCGTTTCTGAGAAACGGTCGATCGTTCAAGGTTGAACGATCCCCGCGGTGTCAGGGACCAACGCCGAGGTCGGCAGGACACGAACCTGCCGCAGATGGGGTCGGAGGATTGCGCCGCATCGGCGATGCATCGGCGATGTGGCCCGATGTGGAGCCCGAATTGCTCCACGCCGACGTCGCCGATGCATCGCCGACGTTGCCGATGCATCGGTGATGTATCGACGATGCGGCGCGAGCCTTCGACACCATCTACTCCGACCCCATCTGAGAGGCCTCTAGTCCTGGCCTCCGCTGCTTCTCCCGATGGGCAAGAAGCGAAAGAAGCCTGCCGGTGACCAGAGAAGGAAAAACGGCACAAGCACAAATGTTCAAAGCTCCGCACGGAGTTCTGAGATCGGCGCTCGGGGCCCCCCTGGCGCCTGAGGTCTGGCGCCGATCCAAGAGGTCCGCGCGGAGCTCCGACAGCTGATGTTTCCATGGCGTTTCTGTTTCCGCCAGGTGAGGATCCTGGTCTCGTGTTCGATGTGGCTGCCCGGCAGGAGTTCCTCCTGGGGTTCCGGAAGCGCAAGACGGCGCGCAGGAAAAAGGCCATTTTGGAGGGGATCGAGGCGAAGCGGCAGGACCAGATCGATGTCAAGAGAGACCTCCGCAACCACATCAAGGACAGCTGGAAGCAGGTCCAGTGGGCCGACAGGCACGCGCTGAAGGTCATCGAGGCCGGGAGCTTCGGGAGCCGGGCCAAGGCTCTGATGGACCGGGAGGACGGCGCTGGGGCGAGCGGCGACGGGTCATCCTCGGAGGACGCCGGGCGGACGGCAACGGGGGTGCTGCCAGCAAGCGTTACCCCAAGGGAAGAAGAGGCACCGAAACCGCTACCTGTGCCTCGTTTTCGCCCTCTTGGGGCCTCCTGGGAGGCCCTCGTCGCCACGGCGGGATGCGCCTCGAGATTCTCGCCCTGGGAGCTTCCCAGAGGCTCCGGAAGCGCTCCGGCTTGCCCTGGGGCGCCCAGTAGCGCCCTGGGCAAGTTCACCGCGATTGGCACCAAAGCGGCCCAAAGGGGGGGCCCTGAGCGGCCCCTAAGCTGCCACCTGCGGGCCCGAGAGGTGCACGAAGGGATCACCCTGCGAGAAAGACACGCGCACGAAGTCGAGAAACGCACGGGGAGTGGACGTCCGAGCGGTGCCAAGCAAGCTGCCACCCTCGGGCCCGGGAGGTGCAGGAAAGGTGCGCAGGTCTCCGCACCCCGCGCTCATCGACCCCCCCGTTGACGAGCACCCCAGGACGGCAGCGGCGAGCCCGGGGCCCTGGAGGACCGGCCGCGGGCAGCCTCGACCGTCGCCTTCGAGAGGGAGGAGGACGACCCCTTCGGCGGCTGCGAGGTGACGGTCGACGGCCGAGACCTCTGCCTCCTCGGTGCCGCCTCCGCGTCCGCATCTCGACGGACAGTAAGCGGCATAGACAGAGACTCTTGGAGGCCCGCGCGGACTTCCTGGAAATCCGCGCTGGACCCTCCTCCCTGGCGCGCCGAGCGCGCCAGGGGCGGCGTCAGAGGCGCCGCCAGGGGGGCCCAGCGTCGATCCGAGAAATCCCGCGGAGCTCCGAAAGTTTGTGTTTGCGTTTTTTCCTGTTCCTCCAGCATCGTCGCGCGACTCGGCCGCCAGTTCCACGGCCCTGGTCAGCAGAGGTGCTCCAGGAGCCCAGCAGATCATCATCAGAGACGAGGCGTATTGGAAGCGGCGGGCGATATGTGCCAGGAAGGAGGCCGCTGTTAAGAAGAAGGCGTCGGCCAAGCGCCTCGCGAAGTGGGAGGTCGAGCAGAGGCTTGCCACGAAGCAGCCACGCGCAGAGGGTGGTAGTGGGAGGGGGGAAGGTTTCTTGGAAGCACCCCTGTTTCTTGGAAGACGCGGGCCTTCTCCATAGATGTAGGGCCAGCGCCTTCTAAGAAGCAGCCTTCTTCTAAGAACCCTTCCCCCCTTCCGACACCCCCTTTCTGCGCACCGCCAAATGAAGCAAGCGGGTCCCAAGGGAAGCGGACCCCGAGGTGTCTCGCCGCTCTCGGGCTCGAGTCGGACCCTCGTTGAGCTCTTGGGGCCGGCAGAGCGCAGCTCGTGATGAAGAGCTGGTCCCAGGGCAAGGCCAATCAGTGCTTGAAGTTTACTGCGAGAGTGGAGCTTCCATCTGAGACACGTAATAAGAAAACGGGGTCGTCATCGCCGACATTGACGCGCAAGCTGCCCGCGTAAGGTCGCGCGTAAGCTCCCTCGTCTCCAATGTAGCGTGCCGCGCTGGCGGCCCGCGGAAGCCGCCGCGCAAGGTCGCCGTGTCGTCTCGCGTAAGACCCGCTTCTAATCGACGCTCATCTGACCTCAAAGAGGATGCATTGGGAGCGCCCATTTGGATGGGAATTCGGTGTCCTACGCACCCGCAGGTTGTATGACTGCGTCTGTCTGTCTGATGGAGAGCCGGTCCCAGGGGAAGGCCCCTGGGTTTCGGACCTGGCGCCCTCGGGGCCCGCTTTCCCAGACCCCCTTGGAGTCATAACTCCAACTCCTCCTCCTCCTCCTCCTCCTCCTCCCTCCCTCCTCCTCCTCCTCCTCCTCCTCCTCCTCCTCCTCCTCCTCCTCCTCCTCCTCCTCCTCCTCCTCCTCCTCCTCCTCCTCCTCCTCCTCCTCCTCCTCCTCCTCCTCCTCCTCCTCCTCCTCCTCCTCTCCTCCTCCCCCCCTCCCCCTCCTCCTCCTGCGTTTCTGCGTTTCTCGCTCCGAGCAGCGTCTCAGTCCCTCCTCCCTCCCCCTCCTCTCCTCCTCCTCCTCCTCCTCCTCCTCCTCCTCCTCCTCCTTCTCCTCCTCCTCCTCCTCCTCCTCCTCCTCCTCCTCCTCCTCCTCCTTTTCCTCCTCCTCCTTCCTCGTTCCTCCTCCTCCTCCTTCTCCTCCTCCTCCTCCTACCAAAAAAACATGATTGGGTTTCTCATGCCAGAGAGGCGGATGAAGAAGAAGTCCTCCAAGGCGAAGAAGGATAAGGGGAAGAACAAGAAGCCCACCGCGAAGGCCCGGCGAAAGAGAAAGTGCAAGTGATCTGCCACGGCGCGAGGGCGCGGCGGGTGCGTGCGCAGGCTTGTGAGACGCGCGTGCGAGGCGCCTCGCTTGTGCCCAGGCCTGCTGCCGCCATCATGACTGTCAGTCTTCCCACTATTCGTCGCCGTCCTGATGTCCCCCTCCTCACTCCCCTCCTCCTCCTCCTCCTCATCATCATCATCATCCTCCTCATCCTCCTCATCCTCCTCTCCATCTCCCCCCTCGTCCCTCCCACTCCCCCCCCCCCGCCCCCGCTTCCCCTCCTGCGTCGCTCCTCCCCTCTTGCCACACCCACCATCATCGCTTCCACTACTAGCGCAACGACTCCCGCACCCACTATCACCATCATTACCCCTAGCCTTCCCACTTCCATAATCACCGCCACCCGAACCACGACCACCACAACTACCGCTACCACCACCCCGTCCGCACCCCACTAAAACACAGTGCCACTACCACTACCCACTGCCCACCACTAGCATGACAATTACCTCTGTCAGCATCGCCGCCACTACGACTGCCACTACACCGTAGATTCAAATATTACCGCGGATCACTTCCATTTACCCTGTCTTTGCCGCTATCACCACTGACAACACCACTCCCACCATCACAACCCCCACGACCATTATCACCATCACCACGACCACCACTCCCACCATCGCCACTACCACCACGACCACCTTCACCACCAACACCACCACCACGACCGCCACCACCAAGGCCACTGACACCGCAAGGCGGTGACCACTACCTCGACCCGGACGAGCAGCCTCCGCTGGCTTCCAGGACCATACTTGCGACCGCGCCGTGCCAGATTTCTGTGAAGTCTGACAGAAGATCCAGCAAGACTGGGTGCTAATCGGAACAGAACAAACGGAATAAACATAAACATTCAAAGGCCTTCTCGGATCTGCGCTGGGCCCCCTTGGCGGCGCCTCGGGCGCCGCCCTTGGCCCATCGCCCCTGGCGCGCTCTGCGCGCCATGGGCGAGGGATCCGGTGCCGATTCAAGAAATCCGCGCGGACCTCCCGAAATTTGTGTTTATGTGTATGCAGCTGTACCGTGTCATGGCTAAGCCATGGCGAGTCCACCCATGGTGTGCTCTACCAGCCAGCGTTCCATTACGGCCTTGTTCTCGTCCAGTACGGTCTCTCTCCAAACGCCCGCGGGACCAAGTGTGCCGTTTTATCCACATGGCTGCGCTTCATGGCGGTCCCGCATGCCAGTCCCGCATGTTTGCTTGTTTGTTTGTTTGTTTGTTGGTCCGCTTGCTTGCATGCTTGCGCGCTTGTTTGCATGCTGTGCGTGCTTGCTTGCTTCAGTTGTTGCGCGTTTGATTGCTTACTTCCTTGGTCGAGGTCTTGCTTTCTTGCACGAGTAATTCATTGTTTGGCTACCTGCTTGAATACTTCCCTTCTTGCTTGCTTGTTTGCCTCCCCGCTTGCTTGCTTCTTTATCGACTTGCACCCAGACATCGCGTGCAACCATGCCACTGGCTTGGCTCCCCCAGCGTATCACCCTACATCCATCTAGAGTGCAGAAGCGATGGTGGATACTGCGACTCATACCATCACTGGCTGTACCCACCCAAACCCTAATCCCCTTGCCAAAAAAGTGGCTCAACGCCAATCACGAATACCAGCACGACAGAGGCCTCGAACATTGTAGGCCCGAACGCAGCGCCTGCGCTTGCAATCAGGCCTCGACCACCACGACCCCAATAGGTGAGCGTTTTCTAATTCATTGTTTTGCCGATCGGCGCGGGCCCTCGCTCCCCCCCTCCCCCCCCCCCATGGAGTAGATCTGGGCTGTTGTTGGCGCTTGTGTCGAGCAGGCGGAGTCTCCCCCACAGGGCGCACTGTTGCAGACAGTTGTCAAGCAGAGGTCTGGAGCCAGACCCCCTCCCCTCCCCCTTCCGCCCAGGGTCGAAACTGTCGAAAGGCCGAACAAGAAAACCCTCGCTTGACGGCACGGACCGGGTGGGCAACCAGCGGCAGCCGCAGCACGACCGAACCGTTGGAAGGACGGCCGCGACTGGCGTTGCCCTCAGCCGCTCCCGCTAGCAGAGTCATCGCCGCCACTGCCACCAGCATTGCCACGGCTACTCCACCCACTGCCACAGCTGTTCCACCCTTGGCTCCTCCTCCTCTTCCTCCTCCTCCCGCCACTACCACCAGCACTGCCACGGCTACTCCACCCACGGCCAGGACCATGTCCAGCACGAGCTCTACAGTGGAGGCCCATGCCAAGAAACACCCTGCTTGACCACCAGGGTTCCCTGGGTTTCGAGGGTTTTGCTGTGGAAGGCGCGATGTTCCCGCACCAAAACTCAATGGACGTCCTGGGGTCTCAGGGTTGGGTTTCTTGCGGAAGGTTTCTTGTGGTCGAGCCCTTACAGTATTACCACCGCTCCCATTGCCGCAGCTGCCGCTGCCTCGGCCACACCATCCTGACCGCCACCACAGTCGCCAGTGCCACGGCGACGACCACTGCCACGGCCCATGATTGTGATCTTCACAGAGGCCTTCGTGGGCGAGTTCTGGGGACATCTCTTCCGCGGACGGCCTTGCGCTCCAGCCGTCTCGGGCTCTTTTGGTGATCCTGTCAGCGAGGATCCTCGTCTTCCTTCCCCTCGACTTTCTGCTTGCCCTTCGGCATTGCCCGCGAGCCCCTCTTGCGCTCTTCGGCTGGACTGCGCGCCAGGCTTCGGCAGTCAGTACCAGCAGTGCAGCTTATCGGTTTTGTTATCCCCACTATGTTGCAGCCCGCACTCTCTCTCTCTCTCTCTCTCTCTCCCTTTTCTCGCCCCTCCTCGCTGCCCATGTATGGGAATCATGTTTTGCCAATTGGGCAATAGGGGATGCACTCACTCAACGGTATTGCCCGCTCTCCCGGTTCACGCTCCCGTGCACGGGTTCGCAAATTACACATTAGTTGGCGCGGTGTTTCGAACTTGTTTGACCATGGGGCACTGTTGGCGGTCAATTTGACGAGCCGAAAGAGTCCTGGACATCGGCTTCCCTTCCCTCCCCTCCGCTGACGACGACCGTTATAGGCCTCTGCCCCTCCAGCGGTGGCCTTCATAGGCTCCACTCCTCGGCAGCTGCCATCAGAGGGTTTGCCAGGGACACACTCTCATCAGCACACTAGACAACCATGCCGCAAGTAGGCCCTCCCCTTTGTCAACGAACACGTCCGTAGGGAGAGGCGCCAACGTACCTCCGCGGCTCTGACCCTATACCTGAAGACGCCAATGGCCACCATCCGGTATTTTCCTCCCCCTCCCCCCGGTCCGTCCCACCTCCGATCCGCCCTTCATCCCCTCCATTCTGTCGCTCCACACACACAATTCTTAGGCTGGCGGCGCAGAAGGGACCTGAGGCGCGGTCGGCAGGCGGAGGTGCCGATGGCAAACGAGCTTGGTCGAACGAGCTTGGTCGAACGCGCCATGATGAGAGAGCCCAGTCACAGCCATGCAGATTCGTTGTCATCCCCTCCTACGCCCGCCTCTTCTCCCTCTCCATGTTTCTCCCCCGCCTCCACCTCCTCCCCATCCTCCTCTTCCCCCGCCCTTCCTCCATCTTATTCAATTGTACTTATCCTCCTCCGCCTCCTCCTCCTCCTCCTCTTCCCTTTCCTCCTCCTCCTCCTCCTCCTCCTCCCTCTCCTGCTCCTCCTCCTCCTCCCCCTCCTCCTCCTCCTCCTCCTCCTCCTCCTCCTCCTCCTCATCCGCCTCATCCTCCTTCTCCTCCTCCTCCTCCTCCTCCTCCTCCTCCTCCTCCTCTTCCTCCTCCTCCTCCTCCTCCTCCTCCTCCTCCTCCTCCTCCTCCTCTTCCTTCTGCCGCTGCTTCTCCTCCATCACATCCGCCGTCAGATTCCCCAGTCATAGCATGAGAAGGAGTACGAGAAGGACGAGGGCCATCATGTACGGTAGACCAGCTACCAGGGAGGAAAAGGGAGGGGATGCAGGGGAGACGAGGAGGAAAGGGCGGAGGGGAGGAGGAGGGAGAGGGGGGGGACCAGGGCATGGGGGGAGGGGGAAGAGTAAGGGTGAGTGGAGGAAGCTGAGGGCTGCCGATTCTTCGCGCTGGCATCGAAATCCATGGCATGCCTGCCGGGGTCGCGGGAGCAGCCCGCGGAAGACGGTGCGCCAAGAGAGGGTAGGGGCAGGGCACCCTGGCCATGATCGTCGCGGTGTTGTCGTTCCAGGCCCATGGCGGGGGGCCGCGCTGCCGCCTCCCCTCCGCCGCGCCCCCCCGTCCCGCGTCGCTCCTCCTCCTCCTCCTCCTCCTCCTCCTCCTCCTCCTCCTCCTCCTCATCCTCCTCCTTCTCCTCCTCCTCCTCCTTATCCTTATCCTCCTCCTCCTCCTCCTCCTCCTCATCCTCCTACTCCTACCCCTATTCCTACTTTTATTCCTACTCCTACTCCTACTCTTCCTCCCCCTCCTCCTCCTCCTCTTCTTCCTCCTCCTCCTCCTCCTCCTCCTTATCCTCCTGCTTCTTCTCCTCCTCCTCCTCCTCCTCCTCCTCCTCCTCCTCCTCGTCCCCTCCTCCTTCTCCTCGTCCCCTCCTCCTGTCCCTCCCTCTACCCCTTCTTCCTTTCACCCATTCCAACTTTCCCGCCCTGCTAGCTTCCCGCCGATCTCTCACTCCCCTCTCTATACCCGTGCCCCTCTCTCACTTCCCCCTCGCCCCCATCATTCCCGCCTTGGCCATTCTTCTCCACGAACTCTCCACACCAAATCCTTCGCTCCCTAAATTATATATCCCCCTTTCTCCCTTTGGCGTGCCTGAATGTACGGGGGCGAGACGAAGGCCGCACTCCTCGAAGCTACAATCTTTTCAGGGGTGGTCTGAACATGTGCGCAAGCCGGCAGGGTTTGATGCAGAGTTGGTGGATACATCCAGCACAGCGGGAAAACTCTAGGGCCCCGGCCGACGAAGTCACGAGCAAGCAGCAGTCGAACACGTCACATCCGGCACATCGGAGGGCATGTCGTTGTTGCGGTTTCATTGGGGGAATGGGTTTTCTGAATACAATAGATATCCCACGTGGGTCATTCACGGCAGGAGGTTTTCATGAGCGGGTATTGTTTTGTTTTAAACGAACATACATAATGTATGGTT